TATGTTGTGGATATTTGTTATTTTCCTTTGATTGGAATGGAATTGAATGATTTGAGTAAAAGTAAAGTTTGCATTCATGCAAAAGTTTTCCCTCAATTGATTGCACCGCCACCACCATCACCACCATCACCACCATTACCACTACCACCAGTGGAAAATCATCCACCTTTAAATGATGAACCACAAGAAAATTCGAATTTATTCAAAGGTGCTATAAAGGGCCTTATTAAATATATAACTCCTGCAACATCCTCTTCAATACCAAGTCAAAGTTCAGTTAACAGCGATCATATCAGTGATCCAAATAAGCGTCAAAATTCTGCTAATAATGATCATAACAGGGACCCAAACAAGCGTCAAAATTCAGTTGGCAGTGATCGTAATAGGAATTTAGATAAGCGTCAAAATTCAGCTAGCAGTGATCGTAACAATGGTCCAGATAAGCATCAAAATTCAGTCAACAATGATCGTAATAGGGATTCATATAAGCATCAAAATTCAGCTAGCAGTGATCATAACAGTGATTCAAACAAGCGTCAAAATTCAGATAACAATGATTGTAACAGGGATCAAAAAAAGCATCAAAGTTCAGCTAGCAGTGATCCAAATGATAACAATCTATCCCATAATCATAGTCATTGTCAAAAAAACCATTCTCAAAACTTTAATAATCAATCTCTGGGTGGTAATGAACTTCAAGCAAAACCTCACGTTCAATCTAGACCAATAGGCAATGTAGATTCCCTCAACTTGAGCAAAACTTCAAGTAAAAATTCGACTAACACTAAAGGTAATAACAATGAAACAAGTCGACCACATATTGAAAATAGCGAAACTCCTTCCGCTCCAAGTACTAATGATGGTGCATCAACTTCTTTACCTAGCTCGAAAGAAATGAATGATCCTCAAGATAATAATGATAAAGTAATTACTACTACATCCAATGTTAATAATAATGGAAAATCAAATACTGGTGATAATAAAACAACGGACAATAATGCAAACAATCAAGATAATAATAAAAGCAAAAACAATGAAGGAGGAAAAGCAAAAGGTGTTGAAAATATAGGAAATGAAGGTAGTGAAACTAGGGGTAGTAAAATTGAGGGTAGTAAAATTGAGGGTAGTAAAATTAAGGGCGGAAAAAATCAAACAGATAGTTTAGTATTAGGAGATGATGATGGGAAAGTAACCTGTGAAAACGGGAACGGTGAAAACAGCCAAGATAAAGAAGTTGTTGAAAAACAAAAAAGTAATAAAAAAGATGGTAGAGATAAAGACAAAAACAAAAACGCAAAAGGAAAAAAAGGAAATAAACCAACTGGTGATGACCAAGGAAAAAAAAAAAACTTAGTTTGTGGCCATCAAAGTAATAATGATAGTTTAGATGAAGATGATTATGTTGATGTAAAAAAAGAAACCTAAATGAATAAAATATCTATATACTATATATGGCATTTTTGGTAATGATATTCGTGCTGGGGTCTCGATTAAAAAAGGGGATTAGATTTTTTATTATTTAAATATTTTTTAATATCTCTTGTTTTTTTTAATTTTTCAATTTGATTGAACTAATTTAATAAAATGCATTATTTTATTTTTGTAAATAACAAGTTTTAATATTAC